GGGGGGGGGGGGGGGGCGCTCGAGGGGCTCGCTGAACCCAGAGCGCGCTTGGCCTGGGTGGAGGGTGCTTGGTGCGCGCAGGGCCAGGGGCGCCTGTGGTTTAGTGGGGAGGGGCTGGCGGGGGCGCGCGTGGCCTGGTCTCGGGTGCACCGGGTGGGCGCAGGCACAGCATGCAGCTAGCTTCTGCGGAGTTTGGCAAGCAGAAAGCCCATCCTAGGCAGTTTCCATTGATCTGTGTGCCTCTGGACGCGCCGTCTAAGCAATGTGCCCGACGTCTTCGCGGCTGGGCCTGGCCAGGGCTGCTCTGCTCAGGCGGGCTGCAGGGTTGAGCTAGAGGAGCCACAGATGCGGTCTGCGCTTTTGCAGCTCTGAAATCCAATGTCAGTCCTGCCAAGCCGCCCGACTCACCCGTCGGTGGAGGCCGAGGTTCACTGGGAACATAATGCTGGTGATCCCGGCTCCCTCACCTCCCAACGGGGCTGAAAACATTTATGAACAAACCAGTGCTGGCACAGAGCGTGCCTCCGACCGACCGTCAGCTCTTGGAAGTTTCTCTCTCTCTCTCTCTCTCTCTCTCTCTCTCTCTCTCTCTCTCTCTCTCTCTCTGTTGTCACTGATGAGTGGAAGACCTTCCCCAGCATCCTGCCAAGTCTGTTCCTTAAGCATCACGTGCACCTCAAGTGACTTTGTTCACATTTCTCTGGGTGTTTTATACTGAAAATGTCATCAAATAAATGTCTCCTTCCAATTTGCTTCTTCTGCAGGGGCATTGCTCTGGTCCCCACCCCCATCTTTCTTTGGAGTTAATTCCACTTTGACAGACGGTTGCTATAGCATTCCCTCTCTGACGTCAAACAATTTAAAGAAACAGTGCAGGAAAACAGGAATGCAGCACCAGAGAAGGGTTTAAAGACTATCAGGAGAGCTTTGACACCCCCGGAGTCTTCCGTTCCCTCCGTTCCCTCCTCGTCAGCTGCTCCCCCAAATCACCTGGAATAAAATCTTCTCATACCTACAGGCAACGAGGCCGAACTCAGCACCCTGCGTGTGACTGGGAAGAAAATGCGGCCTTTGTATAAAAGCCACACCACCACAGATGTGGAGAGGGGAGGTACCAGGATGATGAAATGGTTTCCCCCTAAAGTTTTGCTTTCCCTAATACTGGGTGCTTTTTTTCTCCGTTAAGAAGAAAATGAAGAAGCGCCAGACCTATATATCCATCAAGTGTCAGGAAGGTTGGCTGCAGTCTGAGCGGTCTGGTCTTTGATGGTGTGTTTTAGTAATAAACCCTGAGCTATATCGTTGGAAACAAAGGGAAGCTGGTCCTTGAGGAATGCCTGTATATCTACAACTCCCTACCCCAGCCTGCCTGATTGTATTTTATCCCCGTTTCACAGATAAGCAAACTGAGGCCCCTTAGGCTTCAGTGTGTTACGTGGAGTCCGGCTGGATATGGCACCTGGCTGGACCAACTCGAACGCCGTTTTCCTTTGTTGCTCCTCTCCTAAGCCTGCGCACTAGCACTTACCATAGCGTGGATTCTCAGAAGTGCTTTGCTTTCAACTGGATGTTGAAAAACAAGCTTTTGGGGAAACTTAGTGGAAAGCACTGGAGTATTAATTCTATTCTAGAGAAGATTAGGGGGAACAGACATCAACAGCTCCAAAACACAGACGACAGAGCCTGAAAAAAACTGATGATCTTTGATGAGCTGTGAAAATTTGACGTGGACAGAAATACTAACCAAAATAGTCCAAGTACTAAAAAAAAAAAAAAAAAAAAAAAAAAAAAAAAAATTATCATCCAAACAAATCCATTTCTTATTGCATTTCTGTTTTGTTACACTTGTTGCTTAGTTTTCTGAAAAGAACACTCACACTTGAGACTAAGCCTATACTGTGCATCAGAAAGTAGAGTCAGTGAGATTTTCATTACCAAGAGCAACACAGTGTGTGGATGCACGCTCACCGCTCCTTATGTTTCTTTTCTATGGATGAGGATACCCATGTGCGTGTGGAGGGGGAGTAAAGAGAGGGAAGGAAGAGAGAGAGACTCAGAGACAGACAGATACCGAGGGCAAGAGGCAGAAACAGAAAGACAGGTATGGAGACACACAGAAACACGCACACAGCTCATTGTTGGTGCTACTGGCCATGTAGAAGATTGCCTCTCCGGATTGAGCCTGGTGATTATTTGGGGGTGCCACAGCAGACAGTTAGATTACTGACTCACTAACTCACTAGGTCCATATTCTCAAACCTACTTTATTCCAGAGCATAAGGAGAGCCCCAGAGACAGAATTCCAATGTCGTTTACCCTCATCTCCAGGATAGGGTTCAGCAGGGGGGCTTGCATCTGCTAAGGGACAGAGAAACAAATGAAGACACGCTTGTTTTTCATTCCTAACCCACTCAGAAACTCTCGGATTCATGCTCTGAGGGAAGGAACTGATTTCCTAGGGGTTTGGTGACTGTTACTTACAGAGGAGATCTGTGTCCCCTTGGTCAAGTGCAGAGACTTTTTTCTCTTGGTCCTGATTATGTGAATTTGAATTCTCCTCACAGTGAGTGGCCCTCACATTTACAGTGCCACAGGTTTGTAACTTCTGCTTTTAAACCATACTCTAGAAATGCTGTTTTTGTTACTTTGCTGAGTGTGCTATGAATGATAGACCCAGCAAAGCGGACAGTCTCCAATACTGAGAGTTCCCTCTCAGAGCTGAGTAGTGTAGAGTCGTGCGGCCAAATTGTGTACAGCACCCACACCACATGGCTCACAACCACCTGTATCTCCACTTCCGGGTTATCCAATGACCTCTCCTGGCCTCTGAGGGTAGGTACTGCAGTCACACGTGTGTATACACATACACACAATTTAAAAGTTAGAACAAATAAATCTCTGAGAAAAATCGTCTTACAGGTCGTTAAAAGCTCCTCAAGTGACTCCTTAGATTCTGTCAGAGTGAGTTTTGTGTGGTTTCTACCTGAAATTCTCCAAACAGAGCAATCAGATTGGAGTCAGCCCTGTTGCTCATAGTCTGAATTTTTGTACCAACCCTTCACACTGTATGTTTTGAGCTCACCTTTGCAGTACCCTGCCCCTCACATACACACTCCTGCTGTGAACTGCGTACAGCTCCTGGATCGTTTCACTCAGGCACTGAACAAGAACATTTGAAGTCCCTCTTCCCTGGGCATCTAAGAGAATTAGGAGAGTGCTACACTGGACTAATGATGTCTGTCACAGGCATCAGAGGGGAAATAGAAGTGTGCAACCATGTGTTACCTGTTCTTTATCTTGTACTTCCTGTTCCTGGAACCCTGTTGGAAAGGAACTTGGCACTGCGAAAAGAACACAAACTGAATATTATGTCAAAGACCCAGTGTAGAATTCATGTGGTGATATATATATATATGTGTGTGTGTGTGTGTGTGTGTGTGTGTGTGTGTGTGTGTGTATTGTATATATGTATGCCCTCCCTTGGACCATATAGTCTGCATTGGGTATACCTTATTATAGAAAATGAGGGTACTGAATTCCAAGAAACCCTGACACAATGGAGTCAAGCAAGCAGTGTGTGTGTGTGTGTGTGTGTGTGTGTGTGTGTGTGTGTGTGTGTGCCCACAGTGGCAGTGTCACACAGCATGCTAGGCACAACAGTAACCATCTGTTTTGCTCCTAAACATCTTTGTAAGCAGGGCTTGGTGCCCTGACAGAAGTGACTTTATTTGCTTTCTGCACTGTCTGCTACACTGATAACCACGGCTCCCTCGCGGGGTTAACAAACCAGAGCTACCTGTTGGCTGGAAGATCAGCTAGGTGTTTGGGCAAGGAACTTAAGTTTCTCTTCTCTCGGGCCTTTCCACGAACTGCAAATTCCCCACAGGCCAGTGGCTGAGTTCTAAGAGCAGGTGTTCTGGAGAACAAGGAGGAAGTGTGTGGCATCTTGACGACAGCCACACAGCACAGCTGTGATGCCCCATGTGCTCTCCTCTAGCTTGGCCAGAGTGACAGGAGCACAGACCTCTCCATGATGTAGTGACTCGTCTCAGAACAGGAAGGCTAACTAACATTTACCCTTACAAACATCTTCAGAAATCTGTTCTTCTGGCCCAGGCATGTTCATGAACTCCTGAAATCCCAGCACACTGGCAGCTGATGCAGAAGGATTGTAAACTTAAGGATATATATATATATATATATATATATATATATATATATATATATATCTCGCAAAAACTCCATGTAGGCTGAACAGTGAAATCTTCCTTTAAAAACAACACCAAGAACAAAAACCCATACCAAAGCATTACCATCAGTAGTAAAAGTACAAGCTCACAATTTCATAACCTAAGATTTTATCTTTCTTTTCCTTTTTTCCACATTGGGCAAGCTTTATTTGTGATAATATGTTCTGTCATATCTTCCAAACAGTAGAAAATGTCTCATTTTTCCTTACTTAACAACTAAAGAAGCCTGAAAAGAAGGAACCTCAATTGAGGAATCCATCAGCTTGGCCATGGAGAAGTCTGGAAGGCATTTGCTTGATTAATGATTGATGTGTGAGGGCCCAGCCCACTGTGGGTGGTGCCATGCCTGGGGAGGGTGGTCCTGAGGCATAAAAGAAAATAAACAGAGCTAGCCATGGTCAGTGAAACAGTAAATAGCTTCCTCCCTGGTCTCTAATTCAGTTCCTGTGTTCTGGCTCCTGCCTCTAGTTCCTGCCCTGACTTCCCTAATGATAAATTGTCACCTAGAAGATGTAAGATGAAGTAAACTCTTTCCTCCCTAAGTTGGTTTTGGGTCAGTGTCCTGGTAAGTTTTTGTCAGTTGTCTGTTTTGTGAGGGTCAGTGGAAGAATTAGGGTCACTCCAGGGTGAATTTTGGCTTAGCAAAGCACCAAGGGGAGCCAGCTTCTGGTGAACTCACTGCTGATTGCCTCACATAAGGCCTTTTTTATTGTTACACAATTTACACCTTAGCAAGTCAGTTTTCACAAACCAAAACCTCTTATCTGGAGTCTTGAAGGAACCAAAGGCCTGAGCAATTCTCAGTCACGAGACCTCATGGTTTTCCAAGTCCTCTCATCACTAATTTTTGTAAAGGCCTTAAACCCTTCAGGAAGAACTCAGCTAAGGTTCAGACACTTCCAACAGAAGGTCATCAGTAACAAAAGATGACATCACACAAGGACGTTCAAAGCCTAGGTGCTAACACTCTGGATTCCAAGCCAGATGCGATACTCTGTGGGACCTCCCACTACAGGTTCTTTGTCAATGTGGTGAAAGCTACAGTTATCTGGGAAGAGGAACCTCAATTGATAAAATGTTTCCATCAGAACACCTGTAGACAAGTCTGAGGACATTTTCTTGATTAACGATTGATGTGGGAAGGCCCAGCTCACTGGGATCAGCGCCACTGGTCGGCAGGTGGTACTGAGTTGTGTACGACAGCAGACAAGCCATTGGGAGCAAGCCAGTAAGCAGCATTCTTCCATGGCCTCTGCTTCAGTTCCTGCCCTGACTTTTCTTCATGATGAACTACAACTGTAAGCAAAATAAACTCTTTCCTCCCCGAGTTGCTTTTGGTCATTGTGGTAGTTTGAACAAATGTCCCTCCATATTCATTTGAATACCACTTGGTCCCAGTTTGTGGTGCTGTTTGGGAAGGCTTGGGAGGCATGGCCTTGCTGAAGAAAGTATGTCATTGGTGTGAGTGTTAAGCTCTGGAAGGAAAGGTATCCTGATTTGTCAGGAAGCCAGGCTTATACCTAGAGCTGCAGTGGAACAATTCAGCCCTGAAGGAAAAGGTATCCTGACTTGTTGAGAAGTTAGGCCATACCTGAAGCGGGGTGTGGTGGGGGATGGTCTCCCCACAGGATATAAGAATCCTGCTCATCTCCTGGAGAGCCATTACAGCTGAGCTTTGCTTCCCCCTCCCCACTTAAGAGGGCTTCCCAGCAGAGCTCTGCTTCTTCTTTCCAGCCCAAGATGTTCCTTCTTCTGCTTCACTCTGCTAAATGGGAAACCGGTGCAGAAGTGTAGCAATCTCCTCTGGGCTCTGGCGAAAACTTGTTACTTTTTTCTGCTCAGCCTTGCTCAGCCCCGCTAAGGGAAAGTCTGTCTCAGCAAGGTTTTACTTGCTCAGTCCCCTAAGGGATGTCTCAGCAAGGTTCTTCTGTTCTGCACCAGTGAATGAAGATCTTCACCCAAGACTCTTTTGAGAAAGAGGTTCATTTGGGAATAAGGCATCCTGGAGAGTGGCTGCCTTTGTCTGTGTGGGAAAGGACAGCCCACAACTGAACAGGCAAAGGGATTTATATAGGGCTTCTTAGGGGCAGAGTTTCTCCAGAGAAGACTTTCTGCTTAGGGATTGGTTAATTTTCCTGCTCAGGGACTGGTTGGTTTCCTTGGTCAGGGGCAGAATTGGCTCTGGTTTCAGGTCCATACTGTGTTTCTTTCACTGGCCCCTTTTTAGCTTGTTGGCTCTAGTTTTAGGGCCAGGGTGTATTTCTTCCACTGGCTCTAGTTCTAGGGCCAAAGTGTGTTTCTTTGGTTCTGGTTTTATGGCCAGGTTGGGTTTCTCTGGCTGGCCCCTTTTCCCTATAATTGGGGTGTTTTTTGAAATTTCAAAAGCCATGTAACATTTCCAGTTCACACTCTCTGCTTCCTGTTTGTGGTTGGAGAGGTGAGTCCCAGCTGCCGCTCTAGCTGCCACGCTTCCCCACCACGATGGTAACGACTCCTATCCTTCTGGAGGCAAAAGCCCCAAATGCACCCTCCTGTAAATTGCCTTGGTCATGGTGTATTAATACAGCAAAAGAAAAATAACTAATGCAGTCAATTTTTTGTCACAGCAACAGAAAGCAGGACAGATAGTATCTCATCCTGTAGCCCAGGCTGGCCTCAAACTCATGGTTGTCTTCCTCCTTCGGCCTCACAAATGCTGAGATTACAGGCATGAGCCTCCATGCATGTCCAGTTACTAACGTGATTTTTTTTAAAGGTAGTGTCTCACTATGTAGACAAGGCTGGCCTTGAACTCACAGATAGCTGTCTATCTCTGCCTCTAGAGTGCTAGGTTTACAGGCATGTGCAATTACATGTGGCTAACTGCTTCTTTAATTTGTATTTTTTAAATTATATTGTAAAGGTGACCTTTTGGTGTATAGTACTATGATTTTAAATTCTTGCGCAGATTTAAGGGAACGCCATTATAACCATGATAAGTGCAGTGCCATCCTGAATAAATTCTCTTATATTCTTGTTCCTTGTCCCCGCATCCCTAGTGATCACTGATTGTCAATCCCTACAGTTCTGTCTTGTTTTATTCCCCCCGCCACAACATAAGCATCTCTCTATGTAACCAAGACTGGCCTAGAAATAAAGACCCCTCTACCTCCACCTATTGGATACTGGGATTACAGGCATGTATCACCACCATGACCAATAAAGTCATGACTTCTTGAGAATATCATATAAGTAGACTCTCATGGTGTATAGGCTTTGAGACTAGCTTCATTCATTTAACATAGAATTCTGGTTCATTCATTTAAAAATAATATTTTTATTCCTAGAAAGTTCCGTATATTTATACAATATATTTTGATCATATCCAGCCATCACTGCCTCCTTCCAATTTCCCTTAGTGTCATACCCTGTGTCTTTCTCAACTTCATGTCCTCTTTTTTATAGTATTTATTTTATTTCTAAGCATGGGTATGTGTGTATGTGCATATGTGCACATAAGTGTGAGTGTCCATGAAGGCCAGAGACATTAGATCCTCAAGAGTTGGAGTTACAGATGGATGTGAGTCATCTGATGTGGATGCTGAGAATTTAACTTGGGTTCTCTGGGAGAGTAGTGCTTGTTCTTAACCACTGAGCCATCTCTCCAACCCCAACCATGTCTTCTTTTTCTATTATTATTAATAATACTGAACCCAGTTAGTGCTGCCCATATACACAAGGGGTTGTGACCATCAGTTGGTCCAGGAGCAACCTACCATGTCCCTAGAGGTGAGTGATGTTCGTCAGCAGCCATCAACTGCCAATAGTTCCTCCTGTAGGGATAGGGCCTGGTCTCCCTACTGCTGTGGGATGTTCTGTATGTTAAATGTGTTGCTCTGATTGGTTAATAAATAAAACACTGATTGGCCAGTAGCTATGCAGGAAGTATAGGTGGGACAAAGAGAGAGGAGAATTCTGGGAAAGGGAAGGCAGAGAAGAGGAGATGCTGCAGCCACCACCATGACAAGCAACATGTAAAGTACCGGTAAGCCACCAGCCATGTGGCAAGGTATAGATTTATAGAAATGGGTTAATTTAAGATATAAGAACTAGATAATAAGAAGCCTGCTGTGGCCATACAGTTTGTAAGCAATATAAGTCTCTGTGTTTATTCAGTTGGGTCTGAGTGGCTGTGGGACTGGTGGGTGAGAGAGATTTGTCCTGACCGTGGGCCAGGCAGGAAAACTCTAGCTGCAAACCCCACTTCACATCTTTGTTGAAATATTGACTGGTTTGATACTGTGCAGGTCACTACAGCTGCTGTGAGTTGATATGTGCGTTAGCCATGTTGTGACCAGAGCCTTCATTTCATAGCTCTTCTCCACATCCATCAGTTCTTTTTTTTTTTTTTTTTTTTTTTTTTTTTTTTTTTTTTTTTTTTTTTTGGTTTTTCGAGACAGGGTTTCTCTGTGTAGCTTTGCGCCTTTCCTGGAACTCACTTGGTAGCCCAGGCTGGCCTCGAACTCACAGAGATCCACCTGGGCTCTGCCTCCCGAGTGCTGGGATTAAAGGCATGCACCACCACTGCCCGGCCATCCATCAGTTCTTAAATTCTTTCACCAACCTCTAGGGGGAGGTTGATAGGGATGACCCATCCACAGCTGAGCACTGGTGACGTTTTACCAGGGATGAGTCTCTGCATTTAACTACTACCCACTGCAAAATGAGGCATCTCTGACCAAGTTGAGAGTGACATAAATCCATAGGCATAAACACAACATTTAGGATGTGTTTGTCTAGCATTACCATTTAGCAACACAGCAACAGTAGGTTATACTGCCTTAGGACTTACGGTTCCCCAGCCATGAGCTTTAACCAGGGTTACAGTACCAAGCATGAAATCCCTCCTGCAGAACACGTCTCATAGCCAACCAGAAACCATCATGCTACTATTACACCTGTGGACACACGTTATATTAAGCCCATTGATGTTTTTCTCTCCCAGCAGCCTCCACAGCACCTCTGGCTCTGTAATCTTGACAGCAAGCAAAGAGTTTCCTGGTCAGTTTGAGGTTGTTTCCTCTATGTCCTGTGTCCAAAGAGAGTGGTGTCTCCAGGGCTTTATCTATTGGTTCATTTTTCTTACTGAGCAATAATGTACAGTGTTCAATATTGTCTTAGTTAGGGTTACTCTTGCTGTGACAAAACACCATGAACCAAAAGCATCTTGGGGACAAATGGAGTTTGTTTCACTTACAGTTCTGTATAACAGTTCATCATCAAAAGCGGTGAAGGCAGGAACTCAAGCAGGGCAGGAACTGATGCAGAGGCCATGGAGGAGTGCTGCTCACTGGCTTGCTCTCCATGGCTTGCTCAGTTTGACTTTTTATAGAACCCAGGACCACCAGCCCAGGGATGGCCCCACCCACAATTAATGAATGGTTTGTCTTTGTATTTCCTTTAGCATTATGAGTGCATGCTATAGCATCTTCTTTCCCTGCCCTGACCCCACCCCTAGACCCCTTTCTAGGTTAATTTTCCCAAATCATGACATTGATTGTATCCCTTTTTGGCTCACAGAACCTACAATGTTATATTAGTTACTTTTTTCATTGTCCTGCCAAAATACCTAACAAGCAGCAACTTCAGGAGGAAGAGTTTCCTCTGGTTCCCAGTCAGAAGGGCTACAATCCATCTTACTAGAGAAGGCGTGTTGGAAGGAGCATGAGGCAATTGGTCACAGTCTGTCTATAGGCAGGAAACAGAGAGTGAGCCGGAAGTGGGTCCCAGCTATAAAACCTCGAGGCTGGGCTCCAGTGAGTCTCCACCTCCTAAATGTTCCAGCATGTTCTAAGGCAGCACTGCCCGCTGGGGGCCACGTGTTCAGATGCAAGCTGAGAGGGAGGGATCCACTGGCCATTCAGCACCACATCTTCTGGAGAGACTTCCCAAGCCAACCTGCCTTATCCAGCTACTGACAGAGGGAAGCTCTGGGAAAAGCTCTCTGCCTGTCTTAGCAGCTCTGTGAGAGGGTTTTGAAACTTTTTAAGAACTTAATGATATGGTAATTTTTCAAGTAATTTTCCAATAAAGCAGAAAGAGCTCTGATAGCTGTCATCAAAGTGTCACTTCCCTCCAGCAACGAAAGCTGAGGAGGCATAATCAAATAGCAGGAACAGTTTCCTCATGGAAACTCTGCTTTGGACTGCACTTAAGAGGCAAGAGAGGCTGAAAGGGGGCCCCGTGAAGCAGCTGCTTTTATTTGTTGGTAGAAACACCATTCTCCATACCAGACAACAAAAATGACCAAACATGCTCTTTAGAACCCAACTCTAAAACAATGACTGGAGGACTGGAAAGATGGCTTGAACAGTTAACAGCACTGACCGCTCTCACAGAGGACCTCAGTTTGATTCCCAGCACCCACATGGTGCTTCCCAACCACGTGCAGTCCTTGGAGGGTCTCTTTGGGCCTCCAAAGGCTGCATACATATTATATACATGAACTCATGCAGGTACACACACACACACACACACACACACACACACACACACACACACACGAAAATAATAAGACAGCCAGACTTAAAAAAAAAAAAAAAAAAAGAACGATTTTGAATGTTCCATTTTACCCCTAAAAGGTATTTAACAGAAAAGATGCTGAGTTCAGACTTCTTGTCCATCTTCTCTAGATGGACCAGGAGATCTGTTGTGCTTTGAATATGAAATATTACCACAAGTTGCTGTGTTTGCGTGTTTGGTCCCAGCTGGTGGTGGTGTTTGGGAGACTGGAACCTTTAGGAAACGGAGCATTCATAGAGGAAGCTCATCCGGTTTTATAGCCTGGCCCCACTTCTCTCTGCTTCCTGTGTGTAGAGGCAATGTGACCAGCCAGCTGGCTGCTTCTGCCACATCTTCCTTCCATGATGGACTGTATCCCTTTGGAACTGTAAGCCAAAATAAGCCCCTTCACTCTTAAGCTGTTTTGTGTTGGTCTATTCCATCAAAGCAACAGAAAAGTAACTAATATGACATCTAAACTATGTTTCCAAAAGTCCATTTAAACTGTAAAAAGCCCAAGTGACATGAATTGATAGTGAATTCCATGTGGGCCAAGGGCATGATGTCTGAAAAGCTCTTCACCGTGTTATACCCCTTTTTTTGTTTGCAGACAAAAATGTAACCTCAGTGCTATTTAGGGACAATAGAGATGAAAACAACAACAACACCACTTGGTTTTGTCTGAATGTTGTAGGGACAGGATCTTATCCCAGTTAGTGAGGTAGTCAAGCAGGGGTAGAAGTTGAAAGACTTGTCATGGTTTTTCTGCATTACATCACTCTGAGATAACACAGAGAACTGGTCTACCTTTGAAGCTTTCAGTCCATTATATGTTGTGAGGAGTGGCAGACAGACCATCCAAATGACAATAGCTAAAGAAGCCTTTGAAAGAATTCACTCTCCCCAGGAACAGTGATCCCTGTTCTCAAGGATCCAAAGTGCTTTAATGGGTGGCCTTGTCTCCTGATTCTAAGTGCTCCTTGGGAAGCCCAGCCCTGAGACTCTGATCCACAGTATTAACAAGGTAATAATGGATTAAATGGTAATTGCTTTCTCTTTTCTTTAAAGAGGGGAGGGATCAATTATTAAAGCCAAATACCAAAACACAAGTATCTAAAATACTCTAGAACAGGAAAGAATTAAGAAGCAATCCTATTTTAAGCAGAATTCTTTAAAAAAAATTACTATTTTTAAAATACTATTTTTATTAATTCTCTGAAAATTTAATACATGCATACAATGCATTTCGACCATTCTCACTACCACTCCTCCCCTACTTCTTCCCAGATCCATCTTCAAATCCCACCACAACTTCATATCTTCTTTCTTTTTTTAAATAGCCGTTTGGGTCCAATTAGTACTGTCCATATATATACATGGGTGTGGGGCCATCTCCTGGAGCATGATTGACCTACTAGGGGCCATACTCTTAAACAAGCCTGGCTCTCCCTCCTACCAGAAACCATTAACTGTCATCAGCCCCTCATTAGGGATGGTGACTCATGAGCCTGTTCCCTCTCCATGCTAGAGCTTTGACAGGTTTGGTTTCCTGCAGGTCTTGTGCAAGCAGCCACAGCTTCTCTGAGTTCATGAGGACAACAGTCCCATCATGTCCAGAAGACACTTTCAGTTCAGTCCTCCCCAGTCTCTGGCTCTTATTCTGGACCCTCTTTCATGACAGCCCTTAAGCCTTGGAGGAGAAGGTATGATACAAGTTTCCCATTTGAGGTTGAACACTTGGGTAGTGGTTTCCTTCAAGACTGAAACATTCCATCTCCCAGCAAAAGCTCCTTAAGACAGAAAGTAAATGGCCCCAAAATAGCTTCAGGAAGTTCCTGAAACTGACCAGATTCACTCGGCCCCTCCCTTACTCCCAGAGAAAGCAATAAAGGATGTTGTCACTCCCAGACAAGCCAAGCTTCAAAATACTCTTAAGACCAGACTAGCTGCCCGGAAGAATCACAGACCAGCTGAACTTCCTAGAAGAGGGTTAGACCAATTGAGGCACCTGGAATGGGCACTCTCCAACCCATGGAGCTGCCTGCAGGCTGTGCAGTGTGCTCCAGGTTCCCAGATTTTGTGAGCTGTCACCCATGCTGGGATGGGCTTTGGAATGTAGCTGACCTTGAGTAATTTCTGCTTCTGTAAGTAACCCCTAACTCATATTCCTGTAATATCCCAAATAAAACTCATTAGTTCACCAAGTTGGGTTTTGGTGGTATCCATATTTGGTCTGCCTTGGGCTCCCTCTCTGGGGTGAGTAGACCTGTGTGCAGCATTTCCCAGGAAAAGTTTTGTTACACAACAGTATTCTACAGTCACTGGCTCTCTGCACTTGATGATGTATGAGTTTTTGTGTTAACCACTGTCCACTGCACAGAGAGAATCTGATGAAGTCTAATGTACCAGGCTTTTTATTTTAGGCCACTAACCAGATCCCAAATCATGACACAGACTTATTATTAGTTATATATATTTGGCCTAGCTTAGGCATGTTTCTGGCTAGCTCTTTTAACTTAATTAACCTGTTTCTCTTTATTTACCTGTGACCTCGGGGCTGTTTACTTTCACTGCTTCTCATGTCTGGTTGGCTGGTTGACATCTGCCTGGCTTCTTACCCCGGGCGTCTCCCTCCTTTTCTCCTTTTCTCCTTCTCTTGTTCTTTTGTTCTTTTTTTCTTTCTCCAGCCTAGATTTCTCCTCCTATTTATTCTTTTTGCCTGCCAGCCCCACCTATTCTTTCTCTGCTTAGCCAATGGCCATTCAGCTTGTTATTAGACCAATCAGGTACCTTAGGCAGGCAAGGTGAAACAGATGCAAAATATCTTTACATAATTAAACACCTTATATCATTAAACAAATGCAGCATAAACAAAAGTAACACAGCTTTACACAGTTAAAGTAATACTCTGCAGCATAAACAAATGTAACACATCTTTGCTGAGTTAAAATAATATTGTACAACAGTGTAAGATTAAACAATGTTCTTGTTTCAGAATCCCTCCTTCAAGCTGCTCAACATTTAAAATATGTTTATATAGTGTATGAAAGCAAGGGTCTTAGTTATGGTCTTCAGCAGATTCACAAGGGGATTTTATGACCCCTAGTATACAAAGAAAGAGAGTCGGGCTCACAGAACTGAGCACCATGCTCAAGGTCCTGAGAGAACCCCAGGGTTCTGCACCCCCTTATCCCTTCCTAACCACACATACTTATTCACCTTCCCAAGTTAACTGTGCAGCCTAGGAGTGTGATTGACATACTGAAGCTTGTAGGCAACCGAACAGCACACCAGACTTCCCTGCCCGACCACCTGCTAACCAATGGTGGAGCTGATGTGTGCACCCAGAACTTTCTTGACCACGTATCACAGCTCTTAGGAGTCTACACCCCAATAGTTACATAACTATTTTCACTCTGGGGTTCTCGGTCTCCCCCAACCTCACTCTCTTGCTCCTTTACTTACCCTGCTCTCTAGCTTGGATTCAGTATCTTGTTTAGCTGCCACTGGAACAGTCCTGAGCTCTTGTCCCTTCTGTGGATGGATTTCTTAGCTTAGAAGCTTTGAATTAGGAATGGTTCCTCCTGTGTTCCCCATTGTGGTGCTTCTTCACCGGCCTGCCATGCTCCATCTTCTCTGAGACTTACATGCACTCCATTGCAAATGAATCCGTGTTTCTGAAATCTGTAATTTTTCAGATAAAGGGTAGATCACCTCTCTTCTTTAATTGTATTTTTCTCCCAAGACAAACCTGGTCTCCTTAGCAATCTTAATAAAAATCTGATTTATTTGTAATTAAACCCAGAATTCAATTAACTAGCCTTTACATTTTCACCCTTGCAGCACAATGGGATAAGAATCTTTTCCACAGAGACCGAGCCTGCGGCAGCTGCACAAGTCCCTGCAAGCAGGTTCCTGTTTAAGTGACACTGAGTCAGAGATGCATTAACTCAGAAGAGACTTGAAGGAGGAAACAAAAAGCTCTTGTCATCTAATAAGTAACTGCCTCAGCTCTGTTTGGCTGAAAACGCAGTAACTCTAAAAATAAAACTTACTGTAGAGCATTCTTCTTTCTTTCATTTTAAAAACCAAACTCTTGAACTTGCCTTTTTGCATTCCTGCATGTATTATTCTCATTATTATTTAAGACAGGTTCTCACTGTACAGCCCCGGCTAGCCAGGAACTCACAGAAATCTGCCTGCATCTGTCACCCCAGCGCTAGGATTAATTGCATGCACCACTACACTAGGTTACATGATGTACTATTTTATAAATGGATTTAGGTGTTATTATTTGTAAGGAATGGCTTTGGTGAAGAACAGGGAACTCATTCTTTGGGATCACACATGTGTTGAAATACAAATTTCAGGAAAATTGTAAATGTTCCAGATTTGTTTTCCATGAAATCGGACTTAGCTTTAATTTTTCACATTGACAATGGTTGCCTAATAAATCTATCTTATGCCAAATAAAACCCAGATTGTTTTTATCCAAATCTTCGATTACTTTACCATTTTATATATTTTGATGACATCAAATTCTTCCTTCTATTGAAGTTATTTGCACAATTGTATATTTAAAAAAGAGTTCCATTGTGTGACAATGGGGAACATAGGCCTTACTGGACCATCCTCGCATCTCTCTGGCATCTGGCAAACTCTCAGACATTCCCTGCCCTAGTCCATACGACACACTATGGTTAAAATTATTTTTCTACAGTCCAGTTTTGATGAAGTCACTCCTGGGCTAAGGACCTATAATTTGGAGGGGAGGGAGTTTTAATACTTAGAGTTTATAAGAGGCCATCATATAAGAGATGAATAAACATTTATAAACTTTCATGACTTGTAACAATCATTTAATATAATCACGACTTTCTCTCTCTCTTTTAAATTCTTTTCTCATACAGTACATCCTGACAGCAATTTCCCCTCCCTCTGCTCCTCCTAGTCCCTCTCCATCTCCCCTCTCCCCCAGATTCACTTCTCTTCCATTTTCCTTCAGAAAAGAGCAGGCCTCCCAGGGATATCAACTGAATTCAGCATAACAAGTTACGATAAGACTAGGCACAAACCCTCATATCAAGGCTGAACAAGGCCACCCAGTAGGAAGAAAAGGGTCCCCAAAGCAGGTGAAAGAGTCAGAGACATCCCCTCCACTCCCACTATTAGGAGTCCCACAAGAACACCAAGCTAACATCCATAACATATTTGAGGGGCACCTAGCGCAGACCCGTGCAGGCTCTGTGATTGTTGCTTCAGTCTCTGTGAGCCCCTGTGAGCCTGGCTTCATTGATTCTGTGGGTCATGTTCTCCTGGTGTCCTTCACACCTCTGGCTCCTACAGTCATTTTTCTCCCTCTCCTGTGGGGCTCCCCAGCTCCAAGTGGAGGGACCCGATGGAGATCTCCAATTTGTACTCTTTCTCCACCTATTGTTTCGGCTGTGGGTCTCTGTGTCTACTCCCATCGACTGCCAGAGGAAGCCTCTCTGATGACAACTGGGCTAGGCACCGATCTGTGAATATAGCAGAATTTCATTAGGAATCATTTCATTGACTTTTTTTTCTATCCTATGTTTCTGGGCTAACTAGCCTCTGGTTCCTGGTCATCCAGGCAGTATTGACTCCCTGTCATAGAGGCTTAGCATGGGCCTCAAATTAGACCAGTCATTGGTTGGCCATTCCCATAGGTTCTGTACCTCCATTACCCCAGAACATCTTGCAGGCAGGACAGATTTTAGGTCAAAGGTTTTGTGTCTGGGTTGGTGTTCCAGTTCTACCCCTGGAAGTCTTGCCTGGTTCCAGAAGATGGCCGGTTCAGTCTCTGTAGCCTCCATTACTGAGAGTCCTCCTTAGGGTCACGCTTGTAGAATGCTGAGAGTTTCTACTGTACTAGGAAGAACCTATAATTTTCTGTAGTGGTTTCCTGACTCCCACACTCCTGCGCTACCTAGCACACAGAGCCTCTGTGATCTGGTCTCAACCTGCTCTTTCCAGCTTTAGGACAGAAGTATATTCCACTGAAAGTCTTCTCTGCTCCCTCTGGGAAGCTCTGCTGAGTTTCCCCTTCATTTTGTCCTCACAAACCATAGTGGCTCAAATCTAAGTCCACAAAGACATGCTGAACACATCTTGCTTCTGATTGCGGCAACACTTTTCTTGTCTCTTCTACACAGATGTCACTATTCCTTGAGTTTTTAGGATTAAAATCTGGCCCTGTTAGTTCTCACAAGCAAGGTTTGCCCACCCATTCCCAATATGCCAATGAAAGAGACAAGAAACAGTGAAAAGCAAGAAAAAGGGATTTATTCAGTGTGGTCACATAGGGAAGAGAAGCAAATTCAGAGGCCCGGTGACATCCCCACCATCCCAGAGCCAACTTTGGACACTGACATGAGGTTTAGGTTTGAAATGAGGTCATGAGGTATGTACAGCTAAGCAGACCCAGTCAAGACGTGGTCTTACCCATCAGTCACCCATCCTCATCTCAGGCCCTGAAGAGTGTTTCCCAGAACTGTGTCAAGTCTCTTCTTGGGAGGCAGGCTCTCCTGTGACTGGCACCAGGCTTCAGTGCCTTCCTTCCTTTAGCATGGGGTTCCTGGGAAGTTTTTAGTTCTTTGGAGTCTATTGTTTCAAAATCTGAGAGCTGAAGGGGGCCACAAGTGTCTCTTTAGAACACCTCTTCTCCCAACAGAGTGGAGATGTCACGGCTGTCCACTTTAGCTGGAATTACAATAATCTGCGTTTGTTTTATGTCCTAAGTCTGAGGATAATAAGAATAATATGTTTGAAAAAACATGGAGAACGAGACTGGGAAAGCAGAAGTTCGAATTCTGCCTCCGTCGTTTGGGAACTGTGTAGGTTTGAAGCCGTCACCTGTGTGTCTGGACTTCCTTTACTACTTCTGTGGGAAGTTGTGGGTTCCTGGGGCTGGAAACATGGCTCCCTGAGTAAGGTGTTTGCTGCACAACCATGAGGAGCACAGTGCAGATCCTCAGCACCCATGTAAATGCCAGATGGGATTGGCAACCCCTTTGTAACCCCAGCACTCAAGATCCGCAGAGCAAGCTGGCTGTCTAGACCAGCTGAATCCCGGAACCCTGAGTTCAAGAAAGAACCTGCCTCAGTGAGTGTGTGTGTGTGTGTGTGTTTATGTCTCTCTGTGTGTGTATAGATAAAAAGAAAGATTATTCCAGATCTATTCTCAGCAAACTTTATTAGCACATACACATGGAATAGATGTATTAACTAGATTGGTTCATTATTTCACTATATATATATATATATATATATATATATATATATATATATGTCAAATCATAACTTGATGTACCTTAAATACATGAAATTTTATTAATCAGTTATACATTGATAAATGTGGAAAAGTAAAACAAACTAATATGAAAGAATACAAATATGAAAAAAGGCAAATAAAGTATTTATTATTGCATTCATTTTTATTTGTGTGTGTGTGTGTGTACGTGTGTGGGCATGCATATGCCACAGTACACATATGTAGGTCAAAGGACAGCTTCTGGGAGTCTGTTCTCTCCTTCTATCGTGTGGGTTCCAAAGATCAAACTTAGGCCATCAGACTTGGCAGCTAGTATTCCCATCCTCTGTGCCATCCCATAGCCCAAAAGAAATATTTAATTGAACAAAAATCAGAAAGGTCTGGACTACTAATAACAGATTTATCATCTAAGATTATTTTGTACTGACACAAAAAGAAATGTTTTAAAATGCACAAGGCACAGTATTGAGTGAGAAGAGAGAGAGGTTTTTACCATGAAGACCCAAGATCTTGAAACCACCCTCCCACCCCCTTCTCCCCTAATCTTAGATATTTGATTTCTTTCAGTGTCTAGTAATAATGTGGTCTAGCAGGTTTTGGATAATGTAAAAATATACGAATATAAGGCAGTTCCAAAATGGATGGTGTCTTCTGCATCTTGCTAGGACCAAGGAGCTTACAACAAAAGGTCCCTGCCTGGGCCCCTGTAGACAACATTTGCTGTTAATCCAGCCTCAGAAAAGAAACTGCTGTGACGTTGTGGTAGCCAGCTTCCCCTTGCTCTAACCAAAACCTTCCAACAATCATCTTCGGAACAGAAGGCTGGTCTTCGCTCACAGTTTCCGAGGCCCTGGTTTATGATCAGTTGACCTTGTTGCTCTCAGGCCAGGCATGAGGCAGCCCACCATGGCAGAAGCACAGTTTGGAGTAAAACCTCATGTCTGGGAAGCAGATAAAGGGAAAGAGGACAAAACTGGAACCCCATGATTCTTTTCTTTCTTTCTTTTTTTTTACTTTCTTTTTATTCATTCTTCATGTCTTTCACATCATGCATGTTGATTCCATTCACTTTCCCGTCCCTTTGTGTCCACCCTCTGTCCTTGCAACCTCCCCCACCCCCCAAAAAATTAATAAAATAAAAAGTTTAAGAGAGAAAAAAAAGGAAAAATCTTGTCATGGAAGCTGTAGTGTGATACAGTGAGTCATGCAGCCCTTTTATCCATATATATTCATTGCAAAGTCTGGTTCAAGGCCTCTGGTTTCTGCTACACTGTTGATGCTGGGCCCTCACTGGGACTCATCTTGGATATCCTGTTGCTGGCTGCCCTGCGTTGTGGAGATCTTGCAGCTTTGGGTCTGCAGGACCGGTCCCTTCACGTGCTCCAGCAGATCGTAGACGGGGTGGATGTTGGTGTGGGCCAACTCATAACCCTGGTTCTGGGCCTGGGAAGTTGTAGGATTGGTGAGCCCGCCCCTGCCCAGTCTTCTCCACATGGTGAGCTCTCCACCATTGCCCTGGCTAGTTCACCCTTTGCAGTGATGAGCAAGGGTTAGGGCCAGATCTCCTGCTTTGACACCCTCAGGGTCGGCTCTCCCGCATCCGGACCTTCAGGGCCAGCTCTACTGTGCTGCCCAGGCAAGCTCAGGGGCCAGTTAGTGAGGAGCGGTGCCCGCTCTCCCACCTGCCACAGGTGGCAAAGGGCAGGGGCGGGAGAGGAGGGCACATCTCTCTCACCAACACAACTGTATGGCAGATGAGGGGCGGAGCCAGATCTCCAATGCTCACATTCTCAGGACCGGCTCTCCGGTGCCCCCATCGACTATACTGCCCAGACAAGGTGCAGGGTCCACTTTCCCAAGTGCTACAGCTGGTAAGGGGAGGGTCAGCTCCCTCACAGGGGGAGGCGGTAAGGGCAGGGGGTGGGGCATCTATCTTTTCCTCACCCATGCCACACATGGCAGACGAGAAGGGCGCAGCCAGCTCTCCCATTCTCACGCCCTCAAGGCCAGCTCCTCCACGCCCCTGCAAACAGGGTCAGCTCTATTGCGCTGCCCAGGGGAGGTGTAGGACCCTCTCTCCTCTCGGCCTTCGGTGATATCAAGAGCCATGTTCATCATCACAGACCATGACTGTATCAGAGCCATGAACCCAGACATGGGCCCCAAGAGCAGCCCAGGCCCAGACATCACCATGGCACTGGGTGACAATCAAACCACTCACCTCAGCCTGCTCCTCATCTCCTTCACCTCTCCAGATATGCCTGTCCACGGACATGAACCATTCTGTCTGTCTATCTCTCTTCCCCATTCCACACCAGACATTTGCTCACCATAATAGTGTCCATCTCCGGGTGCCAAAAGATGCTGGGCAGGTCCATGTTTTTTCCATAGAGCCTAGGGCGGACTGGCCTGGGCTGCATGTAGGTTTCTTTGTTCTGTTCAGTCTCACAGGATGCTGGGCATCTTTTTTTGTTTTTGTTTTTTGAGACAGAGTTTCTCTGTGTAGCCTTGGCTGTCCTGGAACTTGTTCTGTATACCAGGCTGGCCTCAAACTCAGAACCCCCCTACCTCTGTCTCCCGACTGGGATTAAAGGTATGCACCACCATCACTACCCAGCTATCCCACAATCTTTACAAGACCTTACTACCAATGACCTAAAGACCTCCCACCAACACCTGATAGTTATTGTCTCAAGAGCTCTGAGCCAGGATCAGGCTTCAGTCATGTGGGGTTTGAGGAGATGCTCAGTATACACACGACGTCAGGGCTGGGCAAGTGAGACTATTGATAGCTGAACTCTCCATTCCTATGGGTGATTGATTGATTACTATGGCCTTTCTGTAGAACTTGAGCATGCCTAATTCAGGAGGTGGAGAGATAGAGAAGTAAAGAAGCGATTGCTAGGCAGATGTGAGGACCAGAATTTGGGTCTCCAGAACCATGTAAAATCCAGACAGCTGTGGCAGCCACCTGTAATCCCAGTGCCCAAGGAGCAAGCTGGGTATCTAAACTAGCAGGAATTGGCAAACTTGGGTTTCAGCGAGTGACCCTGCCTCAATAAATGAAAATGGAGCAGCCAAGAAGATACTCAGCATCAGATTCAGGTACGTACACACATGCATGTACTCACATGTGCCCACACATGTAAACATTCACGCCTGCCCAGACATAGAAGCATACATGCAAACATGTTTGCATGCACACCACACCACTTCACCCCACTCCCAAACAACACCATTCTAAGAACTTCTTAAATATGTATTTTATTTATGTGTATGTGTATATGTCTGTGTAAGTACATGCCATGTGTGTATGAGTGCCCTTGGAAGCCAGCTGGAGTTACAGGCAGTTGTCTGCTGCCTGTCATGGGTGCTGGGAAACAAAATTTGGGTTCTCTGGAGCCATCACTCCATCCCCTAAGAACCTATTCTTAATAAATGACTGACGTATTCACTCAAAGACTGACGCATACAAATGTGACATGTGCCAGTATTTATTTACATCAGCGAAAATTATAAGCACAGTAATAAAATGGTTAACTAGACTGTGGTGTGGCCACATCGTTAAATCATATAAGGCCATGTAAACCTTGTTTTTCTTTATTGTGGAAGAGCACACAATATTCTAAATATAAAGGTAAAGTCACCAGATAAAAGTGGAGTATGATCCCAACTATACACAGAACTGTTTATTCATAGGAAACAACTAAAAAGATTTAGTAAAATATTAAAAGTAGCTACTTTTACTCAGTTGTAAGTTGTGGGGAAGTTTATTCATGAATATTCAATGAATTTTTATAAAGAATATTTGCTATTTCTATCATTGAGAATTTTAAAAAATGAAGTATTTAGTTGGTAATTCTGATTACTGCATCTGATTTCAATATTGAGCCAGAAAAGAAGTACATCCTTTATAAAAAACAACAAACAACAAAGAATTCCCTTATGTAGAGCAGGCTAGCCTTGAACTCACTCCATAGCCCAGGCTAGCCTTGAATTCAAGATCTTTCCAACTCAGCCTTTCAAGTAGCTGGGATTACAGGCATTAGTGCTCTGCACTTAGCTGAAACTAACTAACTTTCTTCCTTCCTTCCTTCCTTCCTTCCTTCCTTCCTTCCTTCCTTCCTTCCTTCCTTCCTCCCTCCCTCCCTCCCTCCTTCCCTCCTTCTACCACTAAACCACATCCCATCACTATGAGCATACTTAATTTTTTTTAACATTTATTTATTTTGTTTTATGTGTATAAGTATTTTGCCTACATGTATGTATTTTCACCACATGGGTGCAAATGTAGGTGCTTATGGAGGTCAAAAGAGGACCCCTGAAAAAGTTATGGATAAGTGTGAGCCACCACATGGGTGCTGGGAACCAAACCTAAGTCCTCTGTAAAGCAACAATGCTTTCAAGACTGAGCCAATTCTTCACCCCTGGGAGCATAACTTTTTTTTCCTCTTTTTTTTTTTTTTTTTAAGCTTTGTGAAATAGGATCTCTCTATATAGCCCTGGCAGTTCTAGAACTCACTATGTAGATCGGGCTGGCCTGGACCTCTCAGAAATTCATTGTTCCCCCACCCCCCAAGAGCAGGGATTAAAGGCATGTGCTACGATACCCAGCAGGGAACATACTTTTGATGGAACATCCTATCACTTTTCCTGCCCACTGCTGCTAATTTGGAAGAACGGTACCTCTGCACACACAATCTATTCTGGAAATGACTGAAGTCTGACTACAGGCATCGCTTCCTGTCCTCTGGAGAGTCTTGACTACAGCAGTAATTCTCCCCAAAGTCAGAAGGCCATCTCCCCCACTGAAGGAACTAAAACCAAACCAAAACAACCCACTTTTTATTTTGAAATAATTAGAGACACAGGAAGTCCCACATAATGCAGAAATGTCATTTTCACCCGAGACCATTTCCTCTTGAAAGGACTTATGAATGTAAGTCTATCATTGGTTTCACTCCTCTAAATCATGATAGTGGGAAGCAGGTGGTTCTAAGCTCAATCCCACCCCCCACTTCTGTTTCTCTATTTTGAAAACATGGAAATCCCTTTTTTTCTAACTTCCTGTGGTTCACCCTGAGTCACAGATGTTTGACAAGAAATCCAAGCGCGTTCTGCACTGTAATTCTACTGTTTGGGAGGACATCAGATGTGATCATTGAACCGGAAGGCCTCACTTGCCGGGCCAAGACTCACACGCAGACATTCGGCTCTGTCTCTGAAGGAAGCAGCTTGACTAGGAAGACACAAACAAATGTAAAGACAAAGCCACATCATTTTTCCAAGGAGAGGGTGCAGAATTTTTCTACTTTGTGTAAATGTGTTTTCTCGGCCAGCTGATTAGCTCAAGTAAACTCAAAGACATGGTAAGTACAGAAGATGTGAATCTGCACATAAGCTGCCCCGAGAGCTAGGAGACATCTTATAGAGTGACCATCAGGACTATAAGAGTTCTCAAACACTCCTAAGCACTCCACAGCTTGAAGTGTTACTCTAGTTATTCTTCATTAAAAAAAAAAAAAATTCAGGAATCAGATAGTGGGGTAAGAACCTGAAAGGTCAGAGAAGCAGAGAAGTCACCAGTCCTTTCTACCTGCTCCGTTCCTTCCTCAAACACAGAGCCTAAGCCCCTTCCACTCCACCTTACCTACCTCCTGCCCTATGGTCCTCAGTCTTCCAAAACCTCTGTGGTCGATTTTGGTCGGCTAGTGGCTAACTCCACCATCTCACTCCAAGCCAGCTTTATCTATTAGAACACAATCAAAATTATTATACATTCCCCCCTTTTTGTCTAAAAAAAGAAAAAAGAAAAAGAAGAAAGGAAGGTTTTAACTAACATAGTAAGACCATATACAATACACACAATAACTATACACATACACACACACACACACACACACACACACACACACACACATATATATATATATATATATACATATATATATATATATATATATACAGGTAAGAATTACATTAAAAATGTCAAGTCCATTTGCATTGACAAACTCAGAGAAAATACTCCACTATCTGTCCTATCTTGGTGAGTCCAAAGTGTTGTGCCAGCTTCACTTACCATTCTAACTTGCATTATCAACCCAAAACTGTCTTTTTATGTCTCTCAACCTTATGCACTTTACACCTCTTTTGTGAGTTTCTTTTCTGAGTCTGGTAACAAGGAAAACTGTAACTATAACTATCCAGTCTTCAACTACATCAGAGACCCGAGAAGAAAACAATATTACCTGAGCAAACTGGAACAACTTTCAAAACTACAAAATGACAGAAACACCTGGGTGCCCGAACAGTCACCCAAGGTTCCTCTGTAATGTTGGGGCATCCATCTTCGGCCGACAGGTCTAGAACATCTGACAGACTTTTCTGTGAAGCAAGAATTTTGAAAGACTGTCTTACCTTGTCTTGACAAAGTTTTGCAGTCACTTTCTTTTGTGTCCTGCTTGTCCAATTTGGACAACATACTGACAGCAGCTGAGGCACAGGTAGTTTTTTTGCTCAATGGCTAACTTTTTGCCACAAAGAAAGTAAACTCCATATGGAGTTTGTTCGATGCCCATCATCTTCTCTGAAATAGATTGGTGCTGCTAGAAGACATGTCTCATTGTCATAAAAAAAATCTTAAATGCCATATTCCATAGATCTCTAAAGTTTTTTGAGATCTATTTATCTAAAGTATGCCTATCTAAAATATATCTCTGTTTAACCTTGAAAACATACCTAACATGAATATAGTTTTACTGTACTAGGTGACTAACTACTAACCTGCATTTCTTCATTATCCTAAATAGTTTGTAATAATAACTTTCAAGGACTACAAATTTGCATTACATTGTTAAATGAACTGTATAGGTACAATACCTTGAACAAGAGTTGGAACATATGTACAGTATGTTCTAACAAAAATAACCCTAAATTTGTATCAATATACAAAAATATCTTAAACAAAAGTAGAAACATATATATAGTATAACAAAAATAACCTCAGATTTTTATCAAAAATTTCAAAAATCCATATCAATGTAAAATATTTAAGACTAGTAATTGATTTTTTGTTTTCAAAGTAGGTTTAGAGTTCGAGGCCAGCCTGGTCTACAGATCGAGCTCCAGGACAGGTACCAAAACTACACAGAGAAACTCTGTCTCGAAAAACAAAACAAAACAAACAAACAAAATACAATGTTTAGGGGCTGGAGAGATGGTGCAGTGGTTAAGAGCACTGGCTGTTCTTCCAGAGGACCTGGGTTCAATTCCCAGCACCCACATGGCAGCTCACAGCTGTCTGCAATCTACTCGCAGGGGATCTGACACCCTCACACAGACAAATGTACACACAAGTAAATAAATAATTTTTAAAAAGAAGAAAAGAATAGGTTCAATAATCTACCCTTTTATCCTATTTCTGTATCTCCCCTTTTTCTTTTTAGAACAACAACCCTGAATCTAATCTCCTTTGTTCAGCTTTTTTCTGACCATTACCAATAACAACTTGTAACCAACCACCCTAAATGATGGCAAATATCCATAACCCACTGAATGACCAAAAACTGCCCACCCCACTTCTTGGGAATGTGGACATTGTGTTCTTAAAATTACTTCCTGTTGTCTGGGCCAACGGCATCTTTAAGGGATCCTGAAAGAAAATTGGGATAATTGTCAAGCCCTGGGAGAGCAAGTTGTATCATTTGTTGTCTAGTCTCTGTGTAAAACGAAAATGCAGGCCTTATCTTTAGTCCTGGCTACAGTAGTCTGTGAGGCTGGACCACCTCAGCTAGCCACCTTGAAATTGTCCTGAGAAGTTTGTAGTCCAAAGCCGATCTTTGGGTAGTGTTTATCAGCTTAGTGGCATTACCACAATCCAGGTAGAATCATCATTGTGGGGCCCCATCCTCCTTTTGGAGACTTCAAAATTCACTGTTAGGAATGGTTATGGTTCACTGCAGAAAATTTAAACATTTTAAATGTCATATGCAGCAGATCTTGAAGAGATTAAAAGACCATAATTTGTTATGTACATCCAGAGCACAAAACTTAATTTCTAGTTACCTGATAGAGACTCAAACCCAAAATCATGTACAGGAAGCTAGATGAAGCCTTTTTCTAGAATTAGTACTCTATAGGATCATTAATATCATGACAAAAAGTTTAATATATATATATCTTACAAATTTTGAGATAATATTTATACCTTAAGAAAAGTTTTAAAGAGTCAAAATAAAACCAAAGAACTATGAGATTAGTGGCAATAGAATAGTCCCTTAATTTTGGTGGCTCTTCTGACATGAGACAGAGATTTTGGATTTTCTTTTAACAAGCATGCTTGGGTTTAGAGAATGAGAGAGCCACGCTCCAACTCCAAAGCCAGCTTTAATTTTTAATCAAATGGACTACAAAAAGACCATTTGCATTATATGCCTGTAGAGAACAGCAGAAACAAACATTTGGAAAAATTTATGAAATTTTATCCTGTTAGAAATGTGATGTACCAATAGGCCAATTTACTCTTTTTCTTGGGACATTTTCTTGGGATTATTTGTCCCTTTTCTTCAGATGTCTCATTTGTCCAGTGGTCTTCAGATTCCTTTAGCTGGATGCCTTTATTTTCCTGGAAAGACAAAAACAAAACCCTTCCCCAACCCTAACTTTGGGAGGTTCCCTTTTTACAAGTTATACCTGATCAGATGAAAAGCATTTGTTAGTCTTATAAGTTAGTTTAGATTGAATGGTTATACTGTTTGATAATCAAGATGTCTCTCTTGTTCAAGTCTAATCTTTATCCATTTTGATGGTATCATTAGCTTTTCTTCTCCTGTGGAAACAAAAATAAAACCTCTTTCCCAATGTAACACACAACTGGGTTTCCATTCTGATGGCCATACATCCTTAAAGTATACAGGCTGATTTAATTCAGCAGTTTTTTTCTATTATCCAATGTCTCTCTGCAGCTGTTGTTCCTTTCTTATTAGCATTTAGAACATTTAAAGTTAATAAAGCATTGTGCAATCTATTTCTGGGGGTCTTAATCACACCTCTCTGTTTATTAAGCTTTTCTATACTTGCTTGCCCTGTAGGATTATGTGGTATATTTGTAATACGCTTTATGTTGTAAAATGCAAAAAAAAAAAAAACAAAAAAAAAAACCTGTTTCATTTTACTAGAGACATATGCTAGAAAATGGTCAGTATTAATTTGTACAGGTATCCCCATGATGGCCATAACTTTTAATAAATGTGTGATTACAAAATCAGCTTTTTCAGATCTTAGAGCAGTTGCCCATTGAAATCTTGAATATTTATCTGTGTATGGTATACATATTTTAGTTTTCCAAATTCTGCAAAATTAAACATGTCTGCTTGCCAAATTTCATTTCTTTGAGTACCCTTTGGTTTACTTCCTGTAGGTAGTGGAGTTTGTTTGTGTAAAGAACAATTACGACATTTCTTTATAATTTCCTTGGCTTATTGCCAAGTGATGGAAAAATCTTTTTTCAAACCCTTGCTATTAACATGGTGCTTCTAATGAAATTCTAAGGTTTCAAGCACATTTCTTACCAATACCAATTTTATCATTACCTTGTGCTAGAGGGCTTCATAGACCCATATGGGATCTGATATGTGTTATATACAAGGGATGGTTTCTATTTCTGTTTATTTCTTATAATTGAATAAATAACAAAGTTAATTCTGAATCATCTGGAATAAGTTCAGCAGTTTCAATACGTAAAACAACTCTTTCTGCATATTGAGAGTCAGGAACTATATTAAGAGGTTCTGGAAAATCTAGTAATACCATGAGAATAGCATGTAATTCTGACTTTCGAACAGAATTATAAGGGGCTTTGAGCCACTTTACTTAAATTTCCTGACTTATCACCTGCCTTTCCTGATTTATTTGCATGAGTATAGAATGTAAGGGCTCCAGAAATTGGTGTTCCCCATACAATGTGAGGAAGGATCCAGTTAGTTCTCTTTATAAACTGAAGTCTCTTGCTTTGGGGTATTTATTGCTAATCCCTCCCAAAAAATCATGGGAAGCACTTTGCTAATGTTCATTTTCTGCCCATAAAGAGGAAATTTCAGAATTAGTAAAAGGTACTACAATATCTGCTGAGTCTATTCCTGCTAATTGATGAAGTCTCATTTTTCTTTCAGAATCAGCTCAGAAACACTTTCTACATAGGTCTTTAACTTTTTACGCTGGGCGGTGGTGGTGCACGCCTTTAATTCCAGCACTTGGGAGGCAGAAGCAGGCAGATCTTTGTAAGTTCAAGGCCAGCCTGGTCTACAGAGCAAGATCCAGGAAAGGCACAAAGCTAAACAGGGAAACCCTGTCTCGAAAAACCAAAAAAAAAAAAAAAACAAAAACAAAAAAACTTTTTACTCTGTTTGTGTGGTAAAACTAAAACTATCCATTCTAAGATATTATCTTCTCTCTGTGTTAAAATTCTTGTAGGGGAATGTGTAGAGGGTAAAATGACCAGAATACAATCAAGCTCTGGATCCAAATGAACCACATGTGCATCCTGTAATTTCTTTTCTACCAGAGGTGGTAGAATTCTCTCTCAGCTTCAGCTGATAATTTTCTTGTACTATTTAAATCCTTGTCACCTTGTAAGATTTGAAACAAATTACTCACTTCTTGAGTTGTTAATCCAATTGTCAGCTATAGCCAATTAACATATCACAGCAATTTTTGAAAGTCATTAAGAGTCCACAATTGATCTCTTCTGATTTGTACCCTTTGGGGTAGAATTTTTTGTAAACCTATTTTATATCCTAGGTAATTAATAGGATATCCTCTTTTGTATTTTTTCAGGAGCAATTTGTAATCTCCAACAAGGCAAAATATTCTTTACTTCTTCAAACATTTTCTCTAAGGTATCCACATTTGAATCAGCTAGTAAGATATTGTCCATATAATGGTAAATTATAGACTGAGGAAACTGATTATGAATTATTTCCAATAAAACATAGGCACAGGGTGGGGCTGTTTAACATCCCTTGTGAGAGAATCTTCCATTGATCTTTTAACAGGTTGAGAATTATTATAAGTAGGCACCATGAAGGCAAATTTTTCTCTATCCTGTTCTTGCAAAGTTATAGTAAAAAGGCATTCTTTTAAATAAATCACTACAATAGACCATCCTTTAGGTAATAGAGAAGTCAAGGGAATTCCAGGTTGTACAGAGCCCATTGGCTGACTCACCTTATTAGTAACTCTTAGATCTATTACCATTCCCCTCTTTCCAGATTTCTTTTTAATAACAAATACAAGAGAATTCCAAGGACTGGTTGGTCCTTCAAAATGTTGAATATTTACCTGCTCCTGTACCAGCTGTTCTGAGGCCTGTAATTTTTTTGATGTCAAAGGCCATTGTCCCACCCAGACAGGTCTGTCAGTTTTAAAGGTAGGGATGTTGGTGCCTCTGAAAGATCAGCAGCTGCTGTGCCCTGCTTATGTACAACCTGAATGGTCAGTGACTGTTCTTTATAATACCTTTTAATATTTTTCCCAAGAAACTTTGTTAGTTTATGATTTGTTTGAGATTGGAGGAATGTTAATCAAGCATTCCATTGCTGTAACAAATCATGTCCCTATAAATTCATTGCTATGTTAGCTACATATGGCTTTAATTTTCCTCTCTGTTCTTCTGGCCCCATACATTTGTCCCATCTTGCGCTTTGTTTTACCTTAGATAAAGTTCCATTCCCTAAAAGCTGAACATTTACCTCCCAAAGACGCCAATTTGGATGCCAAGATTCAGGTGCAATTATTATTGTTACATCTTCCTCTATGTCTACAAGACTCTCAATTACAATATCATTATTCACATTTTAAACTTTGGTCTTTGATCATTTATAGAAGTTTGCCAAAATATTTGCTTTATGGTTTCTCCTGAAAATTTTTTTTTTATCTTCTAAAACTGTTCTATCACCCAAAGCAGTATGTTTTGTTTTTCTATAATAGGCATTAGGTTCTTTAATTTCTCTGGAGAGGAACTTCTCTGTAGCAGGAATTTTAGAGAGTCTTATTAATAAAATCAAACCTGTGAGCTAGGTATTGGGGTGAAACTGGAAGATCAGAGATACAGAACAAGCCTCACCTCGTCGGATCCTCAGCTGGTCTTGTTTCCTCAGACTGGAGGCCTCTGAGTCCTCATCCAGAATGAATCCCAGCTGAACTGCTGCTCGAAAGCCTGAACTTAATGAGACCAAATGCTTAACCAGCCAAATGCTTCTAGTTTCTGGTCCTCACGCCTTTTTATACCTTTCTGCTTTCTACCATCACTCCCAGGGATTAAAGGCTGGATTTCTGGGATTAAAGGCGTGAGTCACCATGCCTGTCTGTATCCTTGAACACATGGATTTCTGCCTCTGGAATACTAGGATTAAAGGTGTGTGCTACCACTGCTTATCCTTTATGTTTAATATTGTGGCTGTTCTGTCTCTGACCCCAGATAAGTTTATTAGCATGCACAATATTTGGGGGAATACAATACCACATTTCCCCCATGGTGACAGAGAATGACTGAACCAAATCTGACATGGGGGCCTGTGAGAGTCCCCCAAGGTATTTCCCAATGGCAAATGGTTACCTGGTCTGTCCCATGTTGATCTGAATTCAGTGGTGCAATGCCAGCCTTTGCTGCACCTTCTAAAGGCAGGGGCCTTCTGTTTGGATTATTCCTAGAAAAAAAACATTGTTTCAAGGAACACCCTGCCTACAGTCCCTTTTCAGGTGATCTTGTTTACCACAAGGACCATGAATTTAACATCTGCTTCACAAAAGGTGAATACATAACATATGAAACTATCACTTCCTTAAATCTCTTCAAATCTAACATTTCTGTATGTTTCCAGTTAACTTCTGAATAGCCTTGGGGATGCCTATCACCTGGTGGTTGTTCTTGAATGATAACTGGATAAATTAAGGTTGGTTTTCTAATAACCCTGGGCCACTCCCCTTCAGTTTCATAATGCCCTGGTATGGTAATTTCTGCTCTTAACTCCGCTGTGTGTGAATATTCTTCTTAGTTCCATTAGCCTGCCTTTCTAAGGATTTTATGTTATCAGTCAATTTTTCATATTTGGCACTGATCTCAACTTTTTTTAGGGATAAAATAAGAATTACAAAATTGATAATGGACATTTGTCAATCCCAGCTAAGTTAATTATCCCTTCATTTAATTGTTCCATTTTCAAACCATCCATTGTAGAACTATACAGAGACCTAACTCTGTGTGTCATAATGTTTCCCATTTTTGACATGAGGAAAAAAAAACCTCAACTTCTCCTCCTCCTCCTCTCCTTCTCCTTCTCCTCCTCCTCCTCTCCTTCTCCTTCTCCTCCTCCTCCTCCTCCTTCTTCTCTTCCTCCTTCTCCTTCTCCTTCTCCTCCTCCTCCTCCTCCTTCT